TTGCATGTAAATCACACCTTCCCGAAGCCAGAGGGGGACGAGAGAAGCCTGTTTGTTAGGAAAAGAAGCCCAAACAGCGGGGCCATTACTGCTGTCACAGGGAGGAGACAGGCTCAGCAGCATGGCGCAGGCCTCCAAGGCGCAGCCAACCGGCGGAGCTGCGGTGTGGTGGGGAACGAGGCACAGCGGGCCGGGCCTGCAGGGCAGCCTGGTGGCAGCCTGGGTGGCACAGTGGCCAGAGAGGCTGAGATTTCGGGGACTGCAGGGCAGAGGCGTGTGAGGGCACTGCCTGTGCTTCTCAAGTCACCTCACTAACTGCCAGGCTGTGGCCCGGAGGAGCAGGCGAGCCCCCAGTTCACACAGAGCCGTGCTCTTGTTCAGGAGACAGGGCAGGGGAGGCTGTGAGAACCAAGATCAACAGTAATTAATGTAAACGTCAGTCCCGGCTGACAGGGCTCTCTGAGGGTCACTCGGTGAATATCTGAATTTTATGACCGCCTGCTGCCTGCTGACTCAATGGCCTAAAGCAGCCCCCACCCTGGTAATCTTACTGTTTACCAAACATCGCCTTTGACTGTCTGTCTGCATTCCTGAGAAGCCACTGTGTTCTAGTAAACCAGCCGGTGGGAATGGAGACTCGTAAAACGTGGTCCCTTGTACCAAGATCACCACTGGCTTCTCCCATGTTTTCCCAATGTATATTTCTTGTCCTGTGTACTGATTTGCGGCCACGCAGGCCATGGCTCCACAGGAGGCCCCGAGGTCCAGGCCTCTCCCAAACGTCAGTCCACCCACTCCTCCTCTGGCCTCAGGTCCGCAGGAGGGGGAGCCCCAGGGCCCAGCCCACCGGCAGACACGCCGCCCGCAGGGGAAATGGCTGCGGAGGTATCCCGTAGGGAGCGACAGCCCTCCTTTTCTTGGGGCCTCAGCTTTCCTAGCTTCCAGGGGGCGAGCTAAGCCAAATGGCAGCTGGCAAACTGGGGGCCATTCCAGCCCCACAGACATTTTGTTTTAGTCCCAGGGTTGCTTCCTCCCGACCCTTTCCCCCAATATTTTTGTTGTTGTTGTTGTTGTTAATTCTCACTCGAGGATATTTTTCCATTGATTTTTAGAGAGTGGAAGAGAGAGGGAGAGACAGAGAGAAACATCACAGTGAGAGAAACACATGGATTGGTTGCCTCTTGCTGTAACCAAGGTACATGCCCTTGACCAGAATCGAACCCGGGACCCTTTGGTCCTCAGGCCAACGCTCTATCCACTGAGCCAAACCGACCAGGGTCCCCAATTTTTATTGTGAGGAATTTCAAGCACATAGTTGGAGGCTGGGATGGCCACTGCTCACCCTTGGCTCTGGCTCCTCCTCTGCTCCTCTCTCGCAGGCAGACGGAGCTGTTGAAGGGACTCACGGCCACCATCATCTTCCGCTCCTAATCCAGCGCCGGAGAACAGACACTGCCTGAAGCACGATGCGGCTGCGCCAGCGAGGGGACACCGAGCGCCTGGCCCGCGTCCAAGTGCCCAGCAGCTCAAGTGCCTTCCACGGCCCATTGTTTTGAGCCAGTATCTCACCACGAGTCACATACTCCGCTTGGTTTTGTCTCCTTCTCCCTCCATTTTTTACTCTGAAAAAACATTACACCTCCAGAAAAATGCATGCGTACGCGACTGGACCCACCGGCCGTTCGCATTGTCTGTCTCCTGATGTTCAGAGCTGGTGGCAGGCACATGTCCTTGTGCTTTTCCATCCATTGCCATCACTTGCACATCAGGAGAGCTCGCTCTAGTCTTTGATCTCCAGCTCCCATTGAAAACCCAGAGCCTGAGGTCTCCAGCTCAGAGCAGCCAGCTGCCTGAGCGCCGCCCCTCTGGCGGGGCAGTGGTCTGCACGCTGCCCCCCACAGGCCCTCTTTTGTCTGACACCCCCCCTGCCTCTCTCAGCCACGCAACCTCAACCTCCCTCCACTCCGCTCTCCGCTCTCCGGCCCAGGTCTCCTGGGGAGGACGGCTTCTCGCCCTCTGGGGCTCCTCCCGGCTCGAGGCTTAGCCTCACCAGTGCAGTCCCAGCTCCACTCCCACACCAGGGAGAGCGCTGACAGCTCGCAGCCTCCCGCCCAGCCCTGCCTCTCAGGACCTGAGGACTGGCCAGGCCGCACCCGAGCACTCTGCGCAGCACCTGGCCCACAGCGGCGTGGCTGCTGGTGTAAGCTTCCTCAGAAGAGAGGCAGACAGGGGGCAATCAGACATGCATGAACAGAATCCCGTGAGGTGAAAAAATGCTCAACAACAGGGAACTAATGGATTAGATAATTATTGCATCCTTAAGATGCAAGAGTCGGCAGCTGAGACAAAGATGCTACATTTAGAAATGACTCAAAAGAATACACACAAAAAAGAAAAAGGAAAAAAGTTTTTAAGAAGAAATGATCCAAGTAGCCATCAATAAAGGACCATGTTGCCGAAACTGGTTTGGCTCAGTGGATAGAGCTTTGACCTGCAGACTGAAAGGTCCCGGGTTTGATTCTGGTCAAGGGCATGTACCTTGGTTGCGGGCACATCCCCAGTAGGAGGTGTGCAAGAGGCAGCTGATTGATGTTTCTCTCTCATCAATGTTTCTCTCTATCCCTCTCTCTTCCTCTCTGTAAAAAGTCAAAATATATATATATTTTAAATATATATATATTTTTAAAAATAAAATATATTTTAAATAAAATAAAATAAAGGACCGTGTCACAGGGAATGGTTAAGTCTAGTCCTCTGCTATGACATCGTGGGTTTATATTTAGAAAACTAGAAAAATTGTTTCTTTTTTTTTCATTTTTTAAAAATATATATTTTATTGATTTTTTACGGAGAGGAAGGGAGAGAGATAGAGAGCTAGATGAGAGAGAAACATTGACCTTTCAGTCCGCAGACCGATGCTCTACCACTGAGCCAAACCGGTTTCGGCTAGAAAAATTCTTAAGAAACAATCTTCCTCTCTGTGTGGAGGAAGATTGTTCCTAGTTGCAAATATACATACATACATACACACTTATATTATATATGTGTGTGTGTATGTGTGTGTATATACATATATATATATATACTTATTTATGCTTATTTTACTTTTATAGGTGTTTTTTGTATGTTTGTGTGTGTTTTTAGTTTACAGAGAGCAGGAGAGAGAAAAACATCAATTGGTTGCCACACACACATGCCAACGAGGGTTCAAACCCCAACCTGGGCATGTGTCCTGGCTGGGAACTGAACCCACCACCGTTCAGCGCTCCCACCAACTGAGCCACACTGGCCTGACTGTCTCTCTGTCTATTTTTGTTTTTGGAACATGTGACTATATTACCTAGCCAAAAATTGAATTAAAAATATCATTAAAGAGCCCTGTGGTTAGAGCATCAGCCCCACAAAAAAAGGTATCAGGTTCAATCCACTGTCAGGGGCATTGGCAGCTTCACCCCTGGCTCAGTGGGAGTGCGTGCAGGAGGCAACCAATCCATGTATCTCTCTCACATCGCTGCTTCTCTCTCTGCCTCTCCCTCTCCCTTCCACTTTCTCTAAAAATCAAGGGGAAAAATATCCTCAGGCGAGCATTAACCAAAAAACAAACAAAACAACCCAAATGCCCATCAAGGGTGGACAAATTGTGGTAAACGCCAACAATGGGATACTACTCAGCGATAAAAAAGGTACCCTCATCAACATGTTATAGATGAATCCCACAAATAAGATGAATAAAAGAAACTGTACACTAAACAGTATACACTATGTGAGTTCACTGATGCGAAGTTCTGGGAAAAGCATCACGCCGAAACCGGTTTGGTTCAGTGGTAGAGTGTCGGTCTGTGGATTGAAAGGTCCCGGGTTCCATTCCGGTCAAGGCATGTACGTTAGTTTCGGGCACGTCCCCGGTGGGGGATGTGCAAGAGGCGGCTGGTCCATGTTTCTCTCTCATCTACGTTTCTGGCTCTCTATCTCTCTCCCTTCCTCTCTGTAAAAAATCAATAAAATATATAAATAAAAAAATTAGTGCATCACACAGGAAGTCAAGGTAGCAGTTACTTCCAGGGGTGGGACACTGATGGGGGCAATGGAAACCCTGGTATTATTCATCTTGACTGGGGGGCGGTCACCTGGGAGAGAACAGCAAGTTTACACTTTAATTAGCAAACTAGTAAAAAGTAACCTGGAGTTCCGTGGGTGCTGCAGCCCCGGGTGGGAGCCGGCCCAGGGGCAGCAGGGACCTGGCCAAGTTGACCCTGAGAGTCCTGTCCTCTCCAAGCATGTCCCTGGGCTGGTTGGGACTTTCCCATCTCCAGCTCCAATCCAGGATCTCCGAGGCCTCTCTGCGGGTCCGCCTCTTTGGAGGGAGGTGGCCTCCCGCTCTTATCTCAGTCCTGCAGCCGGCCACAGGGGGAGGGGGGGCGGCCACAGGGGTGGGGCCGGTCACGGGTGGGGGGGGGGTGGCCACAGGAGGAGGGCCGGCCAAAGCGGCGGGGGGGGGGGCGGCCACAGGGGGGCGGCCGCCCAAAGCGGGGGGGGGGGGGCCACATGGAGGGGCCAGCTCGACCCTCCCGGCTCCGCGTGCGCCCGCCCCAGGCCTCGCACGCCCTGGCCTCCGCGTCCTCGTCCTCGCCGCGCACTCATTTCTCAGCGGAGCTCCCGAGTTCTGCTAAGCGCAGGCCACGCACACAGCGATGCTCAGTAGATGGTGCTGCGGGGAACCCCGGAGCTTTCCTGCAGATCATGATCGTCATCTCTCTTGGAGGAGTGGTCCGGGGGGGCCCCAAAGACGCCAGTGAATCAAATGCCAGAGGGAAAGGTGGCCTCAGCGGACGCGGCGCGGGGTTCGGAGCGCGGGCGGCGCGCGGGGCGGGCCTGGCCCTTTAAGAGCGGACGGAATGTATCAAAACAAACCGGCCGGCTCCCACTGGCCGCGCGCGGCACGTGACCCCGCCGGCCCCGCCCCCTTTTGTCGGCCGCGTCCGAGTGTCAGTGTCGGCGCCGCCGCCGCGGACTCCGGTGGCTCCGGCCTCCCCGCGCCGCCGCCGCCGCCGCCGCGCCCGCCCCGCGCCCTCGGACCGCGCCGCCCGGGCCGCGGCCTCGCCCGCGGATGGCGCATTCGCCGGCCGCCGCGCCGGGCGCGCAGGAGCCGGGCTGCCCCATCCGCGTAGAGCACGACCGCCGGCGCCGCCAGTTCACCGTCCGCCTCAACGGTAACGCGTGCCCCGCCGCCGCCCTTTGTCTGCGGGGGGCGGGCCGGGCGCCCTCCCGGCGGCGGCCCGCGGCCGGGCGGTGTCCGAGCGCCGCGGGCGGCCTCGGGGCCGAGGTTCTCGGACTCCACCGACGCCGCGGGGCTGCGGCTCGGGGCCGGCGGGGGCGTGGCCGACCCCGGCGGGAGGGGCGGGCTGTGGGCAGGCGCGTCCCCGCGGACAGCCCCTCCGCGCGCGGCGAGCCCCAGGAAGGCGGAAGCCGGAGCGGCGCCGGCGCCGGCCGGCCTCGGCCCTGGGAACGCGCACCTGCTCGGCCGGGCTGCGTCTGGTCCTGGGAGCGGGTCGCCGTGACCCCGCTCCGAGGCTACGCCTTCCTGTGCTGCTCCGAGGGGGCTGGGAGGGTCCTCAGGGCAGACTGGGCCGCTTCTCCCGGGAGGATAAAGATTAGAATCGTGAGCCGAAACCGGTTTGGCTCAGTGGATAGAGCGTCGGCTTGCGGACTGAGAGGTCCCGGGTTCGATTCTGGCCAAGGGCATGTACCTTGGTTGCGGGCACATCCCCGGTGGGGGGGGGGGGGGCAAGAGGCAGCTGATCGATGATTCTCTCTCATCAATGTTTCTAACTCTCTATCCCTTTCTCTTCCTTTCTGTAAAAAATCAATAAAATATATATAATTTTTAAAAAAGAATAGAATTGTGAAATGAAGGACCATAACCCCTGCCTCCCATCCCCTTTGCTTTGATAACTTTTCCTTCTTCCCAGCTGGGCCCCTGCGGCAAGGTCCAAGCCAAAAGGGCCTTCAGAGGCCCAGGAAAGGGAGGGGCTGCCTGAGGTCAGGCAGGGAATTGAGGTGGAACTGGAACAGGGTCCTGCCTAGTGTGACTCCTGGAACTGCATGCCTCCAACTGTGGACGTATCAGGAGGGCTGGCAGCTGGGGCAGGCCATTTCTAAGACGCCCTCCCCTCCCCTGGGGCATTGCTGGGCACTGAGCCAGGCCCTAGCACGTCCTGGAATGTGGGGCATCAGCACCCTGTTCTTGCCGGGGAGCCTCCGTGTGCCCACCGGAGCTGGCTGCAGGGGAGCTCTCGGCCCCAGAGGATGAGGGTGGAGGAAAGCCTTATTGGTGAGGTGACAGGACAGGACCTCCCCCTCCGGCCCGCCTGCCCTGGGAAAAGCCCCATCGTGTCTTCGGCCGAGCTAGGATGAAAGCCATGCCCAGGTGTCCTCCACATTGAAGCCCAGTCCAGCCCCGATCTGCCCGCTTAGTTCGTGTTCCAGCTGCAGTCCTTGGCGTGTGGGGCCCAGAGGGCCATGGCCCATGCAGCTTCTAAGGCTACCTGGCAGGTGAGTGTGGGTCATGGAACAAGAAAGAAATAGGAGCATAAGTGGCAAGAGAGAGAAAGTGTCTTTTTCTGGGGATTTTAATCTAAGATTTCTCAAGCTCCATGGGCTCCACCCTCCCAGCCAGGCTAGATTGACAGGCAAGCAACTTCCCTACCTCACCCTGACTTTACTGCACATGGGTCCATGTCTCTCTGCTATCCTCCTATCTGTGTACTAGAGGCCCGATGCATGAAGATTCGTGCAAGGACAGGCCTTCCTTCCCCTGGCTGCGGGAGCACCTTCACTGCGGCCCAGAGGGCTGGGGCGGATTCAGAATGCCTGTCGTCGCCATGGTGACAACACAAGCATCCCACCCCAGGCCACTTGGCAACTGCATATGCAAATTAATCCAGCATCTTTGTTGGGCTACTCACTCCTGATTGGCTGGTGGGTGTCTTGAAGGCATGGTCAATTTGCATCTTCCCCTTATTGTAGATATAAAAGCCTAAGCAACCATTCAACTGTTGGACCATTCAACTGGTAGCTATGGTGTGCACTGGCCACCGGGGGATGGACGCTCCAACAGGTAGATTAGCTTGCTACTGGGGTCCTGCTGATCAGAACTGGGCGAGTTGGGCTGGACATGCCCTGGAGCCCTCCCATCATCCCTCCCCGTCAGGCCAGCCCCCTCAGGGTCCCCCAGCCTGGCCTGCGATCCACACCCTTTGGGGGATGTCAGAGAGCTGCAGGCCAGGCCAAGGAGCCCCACTGCACCCGACCTCTAATTTTTAATATGAACTAGTTCGTCCCAATGGTGACAACTTCATATTATGGGTGAGCAAACTGAGGCTTCGACCACGGGCAGGAGAGACTGTACCAGCATCACGCAGTGCCCGAGCCGGAGCGCCAAGGCTGTGGTCGGCCCGCGGAAGCCAGGCCTCCGCTGCGGTGGCTGCGGTGGTGCTGTGGCCGGGCCCTGGCGCCCTTGGGGCGGGCTTCAGCGCTGGCCCATCCTTGCAAGGCGGTTTTTCTCGCTTCTAGGAAGTAAGAGAGAGATGTGTCTAGAGCCCTGCTCTGCTTCTGTTTACTGTTGGTCACTTACACATTGATTCTTTGTATTTGGCTCATTTTATGTTTTTGAAGTTGAGTTCCTGTCAAATGGTTTACAGCTGCCTGCAAACTACTGTTAACATTTAGCAGCAAACTAGAACTCAGTGAGCATAGCCCAGACCGTGAGATCCTCGTCCTAAAGAGGTGCTCTGGCTTTTCCAACCTTCTTTTCTGAGGTTCCAGGGAGGCCTCTGGGTCCCTTGGGTGCTAAGGCGGTGCTGCATGCTCACAGAGACAGGCAAAAAGGATGTTCAGGTTTCCCTTCTTCCTAAAGAGTCCAGCCAAAGGAGACCCCGCCCCGCTCCCTCCCCCCTCTCCCTCCTCCCTCCCCTCACCCCCCTCCCCGCCCCATTCCTCTCGCCCCCCCCTCACCCCCCATGCTATTCAACCCGCCCTCTCCCTCACCCCACCCCCACTTCTTCCCCTCTCCCTCACTCCCCCCCTGCCCCCACTCCCTCACTGCCCCCTACCATCCTCGCTTCCTCACCCCCATGCTACTCCCCTCTTCTGCCCCCCCAGCCCACTCCCTCCCCCAGCCCACTCCCCCAGAACTGGCTGTGGTCACAGCTCAATGTGCCCACCTCTGGAACCTGCTGCCACAACAACTGCCTGTGAAGTGTTCCAGGGACCCAGCCACCCCAGGGCACAGTGTGCGACTGTGTCCCCTTCTGCCTGCACACCAGCTCTGCAGCCCGCACCTGGCAGTGGACGTGGGGGCGGGGCGAGAGCAGAGTCATCTGTGTCTGGGCCGCCCGCCTGAGCCAGCTGCTGGGCCTGGAGGACTGAACTCAGCTGAGAGGCTGAGTGGCCCTGGGCCCCCAGGCGGGAGGGGAGAAGCGGGGCCTCTGGCAGCTCTGGCTGGTGTGAGGGAAGGGGCTGAGCGGCTCCTAACCGCCCTCCAGCCCGCCGGCGGGTGCGGCACACGGCTCTGTGTCCCAGACCTGCCGGCCCGGCGGGAGAAGAGTTAGGGCTGGAGGGCCAGGCGCTGTGCTAGGTGCCGGGAGGCCTGGGATTGGCCATCGGGGGGCCAGGCCTGTGAGGGGGAGGGTGGGGACCGGCTCTGTTTGGAAGGGGGTGTTCGGGAGGCCTCCCTGGGCAGGCGGCTGGGGCAGCGTGCGGAGGGACAGCGGGGCCGGGTAGATGCGGGAGGCCCAGGCAGGTGTGAGGCCCCGGAGGCGGCGAGGCCGTGGCTGTGACTGAGCGAGGGGCGCCCAGGAGGGTTGAGCGGACAGGGGCCGCTGTTGCAGGCCCCGGGCTGTCTGGAGGGCAGGCTGTGGGCGGCCAGCATGGGGCAGGGGCGGGAGGGGCCTGCCGCCGTTCTGCAGGGCCTGGCCATGAGGGTGCTCGCTCAGCTCGGGCGTGTGGGACCTCAAGCTCAGGTTCAGAAGCACTAGCTGTGTCACCGCGTCATCGGGGAGGCAGGTGCCTGCCCGTGGCGGCTACGCCGGATGGTGCCACGGCCGGCCCTCCCTCCCCCGGGCTGCGCGCCCTCTCGCTTCCAGAAGGGTCTGCTGTTCCCAGAGCCTGGCGGCCGCAGCCAGCCCCAGCTCACAGGACAGCAGGGTGTCCTGCAAACCCAGAACGGCTCCGCCGCCTCCGAAGCCGCAATCAGACGGCCCCTCCCAGGGGCAGTGTCCCCCGCCGCCCCCTGCGGTCCCGGGTCCCGGTTTACCTCCCAAGGCGGGTAGGCGGCAGCGTCCTGAGAATCAGAGCCGTGTGACTCCACCGCCAGTTCCGGGCCTCAGTCCTGGGCGCTGAGGAAGTGCGGGAGCAGAGCGCCCACCAGGGACCATGCGGTGCCTACGTGGCTGAGGAGGCCCCTCTTCATCGTCTCCACCAGCGCATCTGCCCCGGGGACCGGCAGGAAGCCCCACCGTGTCCGCTGAGAGGCCCTGGGAGTGCCCGCTGGGCCGGCGGCAGGTCCTCGGGGGCAGCACTGTGCGCGCCCACGAGGCGGCTTCCGGAAGGTGCCCTCCGAGGGCCGGGCGGGGAGGATCCCGGTGCCGGCGTGTCTCCCCGGCCACCTGCCGGCGTGCATGGGCTGTGCGCGGAGGGGAACGCCAGGAGCAGCACCGGCTCGCAGACCGACAAGCCGAGTCCTCGTGAACAAGCCGCCCGCGGGCCCGGCTCTGGCCGGAGGCTGCAGGCACAGCCCGGGGTTTCTGTTTCCCGGCCAACGACGGGTGGAGAGCCGTCCTGTTCGGAATCACCAGGGTTTCACGGCAGCACAGGCCCTGCCTCCGCCGTCGCCAAGTCAGGGCCGCGTATCAGTCACGTCCGGGCTTTGTCCGCCCCGGAGCATCACTCCGGGAATGCCGGGCGCTCGCTCTAAAAGCACGTGTGTGTCCTGTGGTGGGTTGGATATTTTAAGGACCATGAGGAGTTTGATTTGAAATTATACAAGATCCCTATTGTGGTTTTTTAAAAAAACAAACTGTGTTCTCCTGTGATTGCCCAGCCCAGCCTCATGTCTGTCATTACAGACCTGCTTGTTCCTGCTGCCTTTTTTCAGACAGTGTTTTTTAAAGACATATACACTTTAAAGTGTTTATTTTTAGTGGCAGAGGAA